TATTTCCCAGTCTTATCGCAGCAATGTAGAACGTCGTGCTGGACTTGAAACAGTGACTACTTCATTGATACTTGAAACGATCCGTGCGCAGAATATTACTAAACGGCCGGGCCGTTGGATGATCAACGCATCCATGCTACGACCGATTTTAGAAGACGCGCATGCAGGAAGTCCATGTGGAAGTGGCGATACCGTCGACTGTTGAGCGTCGGATGGCAACGGCCCGCTGCTTTTGCCACTTCTCAATTATCCCGACGTCTCGTTCCATTCACATGGCCGATAGCCTTCCGCTCTCGTTCCCAGCGCTGTACAGTTGTGCGCAGTCGGCTCGATCAGGCCCCAAAGTGATGCCTGGAGTTCCGTTATCCGCATGGAGGAAGGACGACCACGTGCTGCGATGCGGGATCTGCGCCAAAAAGTTCGGACTTCTCCGCTGGAAACACCACTGCCGAGCCGTAAGTTGGCAATTCTCTCTTCATCTTCCAGCCCCCATCGCTTAATTTCTCGTATTTCCTTGCAGTGTGGAGACGTTTGTTGTCGTCGGTGTCTTGGTTTCTGCTTGGTGGACGTTCCGGAACAAGGTGTCGACTTGGCGTACACATGTGCTCGTTGTGTCCAGAAGAATACCAAGCCTACACTTGTCGGAGATATCAACTGGCCGTTCCCAGGAGACGTCCAAGGCCCCAGACTCCACGTAAGCAGATCAGCAGATTCTCTCGCAACCATGGCCATGAGTGACTGCACTCCGTCGCCTTCTACTGCGTCTCCATGTTCCTTTTCCTGGTCGATCACACCCACCCCCTCCCCGCCTCAAAGCACTCGTGAGTTCGACGTTGTCGTCAGTCAGTATCGTAACCAGAAGCTCCACTCGGTCTGCTCGTTGCTTGTCGACTATCTTGAATGTGTCGGAGGCGCCATCGTGCTCGTCCAGGACCACCATCTCTGGGTCATCGCACACAAAGGTCTCCATCCTCGTGTTCTCCACGACCCCACGTTCCTCTCCATCTGCAGTCGCGCATTAAGCACTCAAACTGCCTTCACTGTCCCCGATCCCGCTAATTTGCCGTCAACTTCGAGCTCCGATCCCTCTACGTTTCAGTTTTTCGGAGCTTCTCCACTGTTCGATGTTCGTGAGACTGCTGGTCCAGCACTCGGTTGTATTGTGGCGCTGGACACTCGTGCGCGTACTTCTGCTGGCGCGTCCAAGATGGAAGTGACTCTGGAAAACCTGGCGGACCACGTCATGGATCTATTAGCACAAGAAGAGACCATCTTACGTATCTACGCGTCGGGAGACTTCAAGATCTTCGCTTCAGCTGTGTCAGATACTCGAGGGCCGAGTGGATCGTTCAGTAGCTCCTCATCGACAGGAGTGTCGGGCTCTCTCTTCTCGTCCATGCACACGCGACCTCGTCGTTCCAGCAGCTTCGCGTCCGGTGACGAGTATTTCTCTCGGAACGCGAATCTCAAGGGAGACATAGCGGCATCCGCATGTCGTAAAGTTGTCGAAGCTGCCTTCTCTGCTCCCAGTCTCAAGAAGGAGAAGCGACCAGCTCTCGGCAACTCCTGTAACGTATCAACCTTAAAAGCAGCGTAAACGTCAGCACAGATCAGCTCCTCAGCGCTGGACTGTTTGAGTAAACTGTGGCAACTCGTAAATACTATTATAACTTGACCAAACAACCACGTAGCCTCCTTCACTCGTACCTTCACTCACCGATCGTAGCCCATGTCACGTTGATACAGCGCTCTGTCTCGTGCTGTGGGGCGATCGGCCAACCAGTTCCCGCTGCTTGTTCGCCTCGCGAACTTCTTTTTCTTGCGAATATCTGTCGTCTCGAAGATGGCTTCGAGGTTGCAAGTGTCCACGAAGTCCT